TTAACAGTTTAGCCTTGCAAAACAGTCTTCTCAGGGAGCATGGCACAAAATTGATAGTGTCTAACTACTCTCCTGCCGTTACCGTTGGAATTTTTGGTCCCTTAATGATAAGCTATTCCTATAAGCAGCAGTTATTGTTGTAATACAATTACATGTGTAAAAGCTGCTTAAAGTCATTTTTCAGAGAAAAAAATCCCCAAAAAGTGCCAGCTATTAATTTTCTACAATCTTGGACAAAAATGATGAAAAATTTAGACCCCCCCCCCCCCCCCTCAAAAAAAACCTCAGAATGAGACAATGGCATTTTGGCTTTCGCACGGCTTTATCCTTGACTTCGAGGAGATGGAGGTTTGCTGTTAAATTTCATCCTTTCCAAGACTGTAGCCTCATTTACATGTAAAGACTGTTTAAAAGTGACGTTGGAAAATAACCCATAACTCAAACCTATGGCACAAAATGACTCTACAAACTACCTAGCAGGACATAAATGAGTTTTATTTGCCAGTTATTTTAGTTTGTAATATTTTCATTTGAGCCTTCTTAGTCTTATAGCCTTTTTAGCCTTTAAGCTTTTAGGCTGTTTGCCCTTTACATTTCCGTAATAGTGAAGTCTTTTTTAAGCTTGATTGTAATAATATTAGTATTGGTAATTTCAATATTGTTTAATCTTAGTGGTGACCTCCTTGAAAACCACTTAAGAGTTGTCAGGGGAGACGTAGGCTGCGCTGAACAAGCTGTCTACCTGGTCATCCCGAAGTAACTTGGTGCTCAACCCTACGAAGACTAGCGAAATGCTTCTTTCAGCTCCCTAGATGTCACAAACTCATGGACCAGACGGAAACTCCATAAATCTCTGCGCAAATTGAAAGAGTCTCGAGCGAGTTTTAACGTTCTGCTTACTTGGTACAGAGGTGCACGAAATCTCAACCTGAAATCAAAGATAAACTCCAAGATCTCAAGTTGTTATGGAACTTTGTCCGTACGGAGGAAGTTGAAATACCTAGCCCCGTATAATGTCAGAAAACACTTAGCAGAGTGTCTTATTTTGTCAGAGATCGATTATAATGACATTGTCAGTGATCCTATACCAGATTATCTTGTTAAGTGACTTCAGCGAGTACAGTTAGCGGCTGCTAGTTTTGTTTTAGAGTGCTATGCAACCAAGCGTGATTTTCTTAAGCTAGCGTGACTCCCAGTCGTCGAAAGCAAGAAGCAGCACTTGTAAGTGATGTATTCAAGACACTGTACTTTGAGGATTGACCCACATATCTTAAGTTAAACACTCGAACCAATACAAGGGAGCTACGATCATCTAGACAAGGTATGTTGCAGGTGCCATTAGAATCAGGTACCTTCCAAGACAGCCCTGCCAATGTTTTCAAGGCGCTACTACACCATTTCAGGAACTCCACAGAATTTAGTCATTTCAAGAGTCAGGTGACAAATCACCTTAAAACTAAGGCGAGGGCAAGGTTGCATTCGTGGTGACCTTTTCGCTAGTTTTTCTTTAATTTAGGAACCTATCGTTTTCCGTTATTATTATTATCATTCCACTGTCCACACTTTTTGTTTTCACTGGTTTTTCCAGAATTTTTGAACTTATTGTAAAATAATCATTTCACTGTTCATAGTTTTGTAGTAAAGAAAATCTCATACTAATTGATGATTGGATTACATGCACTTGGCTAGATAGTGTAGTAGTTAGACACAGTCGAAGAGCCATGTTTTTAGTTTATGGATATATGTTGTGGTTCAATTTTATCCTTGGTTTCAATTTTATTACTTCGGCGGAGCGCGAAGCAAAGCATTCGCGACGCTCAGGAATGTCCCAAAGTTGCTTTTTTGGAACGAGATTGGACATGCAAAGTTTGTAAGTATTCGGCTTTAGTCGGCTATTTGACGAAGCGAGCGCCGAATTAGTTCGAGATATATCGAGATCAGTTCGATTTCTTTGATATCGGAGGAAAAAAGAAGTACTTTTTAGGCCTTGGCCGGGGTTTGAACCGACTCACTTGTGTGACCCACCAGGTCAGATGAGACCGTAAGTTGCGGAAATAGCCGATTGCGCCACTGCGACCCAAGGTATCTAGGATAAGTTGGTGACTTTTCAGCTTGTTCTTATTTATTATTCTGGCTCGAAATATTTACCGCAAAAGTATTTTACAGAAAACATTAAATCAATTTGGGCAAGTAGCTTCAAAATGTGAGCGAAAATCGAGATACAAGGGCAATTTTCAGTGCGTCTCTTTGCGCAGACGAGTTTTTCCAAAGTGCGTTTCAGTTTGGCTTTTATTGTCCAAAACTTGTCTTTTCCCCCCGGAATCTAGCTCGGAATTCGTGATACACCGTGGAAAACCCAAATTTATTAGTTTGCCGGTTAAATTCCCCGCCGATAGATCAAAGTTTCAGTTCTGTACTACGGCCCGAAGTAAGCTTATAACAATTTTCACGCGAACTTGGCTCCATCGCAGCCGTTTTTAGGCTCGTCACGCAACGGTGGCGCGAAAACAAAGGCAAATAAAATTCAAACCAAGGATAAAATTGAACCACAACATACAAAAGCAGAAATAAACTTCAAGTACAAATGCAAAGGCTTCTAATGAAATGTACAATAAGATTATAAAAATCAATCATAGTAATATAGAATGAAAATCAATATTAATTCAGTCAAAATCTAAACTTAAATTACTAGAATTAATCTTCATGAATTAGTTAATGAAGCCAAGCAGCGGCTGTCATTGCATCGTGAACCTTTTAGCAATTTCACAGTTTTTAGAAATTATCCATTTCTGTGACCTTTCTGTCGTAAGGTTTTCGACTTTCTTCTCTTCCAAAACTTAGCTAGTCCCTTCTCTACATTTAGGTTAATGGGGTACGCAGCTAGCAAATCAAACTCAACTTCTATACTTTGTGTCCAGGATATAAACTGTTCACTTCTTATTACTGTGCTTTTTACAAACATGCGAATTCTGAAAATCAAAAGCCAACCGACGATTGCGTTTTTCGCTGCCGTCAATCATCTTAACGGACCTCTTAGGAAACAAAACTTTACTTTAACGGGTTCAAAAGGTCAAGGTTTGCGATTTGTGATTGGTGGATTTCGATCCGTCAGTGTGTGTTTCTGTGTTTCAAGGTTCGTTGCTTGTGATCGTAATTATGATTGACGGCAGCGAAAAACGCAATTGTGAAGGCGGCTTTTGAACTTTAGAGTTCGCATGTTTGTGAAAAGCGCAATAATTAGATCTACGTATTTATCTCTGTTAAACACTGTCTTAGCTGGTATTGTTCGTGGCAAGCAAATAGTTCCTTCTATGATGAACCATCCCTTATTAAATACTATTAAATCATATTTAATGTAGTTAACGGCTAACAGCTATGGTCTCTAGTGTTTTGGCGTTCTTTGGTGGCGTGTTGGCTGTCTGTAGCGCTATTACGTGACTATGTTTGCTTTTGAAGCGTTTACCATTGTTCGTGAGCATGGGGACAGATTCCCGTCCAGCAATATGTCGCTTGGGCGCATGCGCAAGCCATGTGCCTACCTTGTGTTTGTGTTGCACTCGAAGCTTTGTTAGCTTGGCGTGGCGTGGCGTTCTAGTAACGTAGCGTTTCTCTTGGTTCTGTGCAAAAGTTTTTTCTCGTCGAAGTGGTTTTCGTTACTGTTGTTCCTCGTAGTTCCTGTTGTGGTTCGTCCTCTGCTGGAGAGTTTTTTGTTTTCCTTTGTAATGCCGCGTCTATCGCGCTCGACCTGCAAAAGCTTATCGTCGCGCTTTCCTACCCAAGTCCTGTGAAGAGTACGGCTTGCAGTTCTTGGTCGCCTCAGTTAGCTGACTCCCTCACCGAGGCTGTGCTTCGAGCAATCAGAAACTCCATTCCCGATCGTTTCATCGATCCAGAGCAACGCCCCCTCGCACGTTTCTTCTTCGGTTGCGGGCGTTTCTGCTAGCGAGGCTCCACAACCTTTATTTTCTTCAGCGTCCGCTCCGAGTACGAGTACAAGTGACGGTGTTTCTTCGGTGGCATAAGGTACGTTTAGCCTTCCTGTGTTTGTTACTAAGTTTACGGCAGTGTCGGCCATTATCCTCTCGAGGTCGGCCCGCCTCGTGGCTCCTACTCCCTCCACTTTCGTTTCGCCCGGCGTTACTAGTAGTCTTCAAAGCCTTGAGTCTTCGTTTGCATTACCTAAGTCTGAGAAGGCTTGTACTGTTGGTCCGGGGCATGCCCCTGTTCCTTCAAAGTTGGTGTCTAAAATTGTAGGTGGCCAGTTTGTCGAAATGGCAGATTTGTTTTCCATAAATCTCCGAGCGCCGGAGCAGGAGCTGCAAATGTTCCTTGATGGTATGCTCGTGGTTTCTTCGTCAAAACGCAGGCAAGTGGAAAAAAAAGACATTTTGACTTGGACCGACTCCTTCATTATTTTTCAGAGGGTGTTGTGCGCTGTTCATGCTCATCGTTGGCCCAACCTGTCCAAGTATAAGCTGCTTATCATTCATTCGTCATTTCTCTGGTTCAGCTTGGTTAAAGTATGACCTGGTGTTTAGAAAGGACGCGGCTGTCTCTGGCCTCAGTGACTGGTCAATACAACTTTCACTTAAGGTCTCCAGCCATGGCTTCACCCCCGCTACCTCGGTCGTCTTCTTCCACGGAATCAGTGACACCAGCCTGGTCCCTCCTTTTTGCCATTCATGGAACGACGTGCAGTGCAGCTGGCCTTTTGGCAGGTGCAAATATCGACACCACTGCAGTAACTGTGGAGGTGATCACACCCGGATCAACTGTCCATTTCCCAATTCCTCTGGCACGGTACTGAATGGACGGTTATGCCCAGTTAGGCTTGTGTACATAGTGTAAATAGTTTTGTTGCGTCGCCAGGCGAGCAGAGTGATCTGCTTTCCTCGGTCAAGTCGTCTCGTGCTGTTATAGTTCCAGTTAGTATACCCAGCGTTGCAGTTCTGTTCGTTTTTTCTCGTCATTAGCCCCGGCCTCCCAGGTCTCTCCACTGCGGCTGGATCAGTTGATGTACCCATCTTTTTATTGCAGCTTTTGAATGTCCTATATATGGCTGTGAACTGTGCAAAGTTTGACAAAAATCTGTGTAGCCTAACTCTATCCTTTTCAAGGGAATTCCCTAACTTGCAAGTTATGTTGTTAATGTTTTCAATAAAATGACATAAGCTAATTAATCTTTGTTCAATCAAGCACACACGAAGAGGTACAGCCTTTTCTTTCAAAACACAGAAAGTGTAAGTAATGTTTAAAACATAAACAGCAGTGATTAATCACTGGCACAAGAATTTTCAACCAGTGATAAATCAAGTGCTGTGAGTGCTTTGAACAGCTTCAAAAATGTCCCCGGAGTATTTCACCTCCATAGGATTGCTAAATAATGCATTATATTTTTTCTTTTAAAACGTGTTGATTGGAAAAAAGTTTAAAAGCAAAAGCATCAAAAATAGCAATTGTTGGGCAGAAATATTTATGTAAAATAATGTATTACGCAACTAGAGTAAACAGTTTAAACGTCTACTCGCCTTCGCAATACAGCTATCAAAATGAAAGACATTTTAGAATCAACCAGCTGCACAAAAGGAAAAATTCCTCAAGAAGAGTGTTGCTAAATCGTACAGTGTACGGAATTGCAAACTAGTAAGAATTACAGGTAAATTTTGTTGCTTGTGACTCACTTCGCCAACTCCTTTTTGAAATGGTAACATGGCCCGTGATTTGGGGGTTTTTTGGTTAGAAAAATTAGTATTTCGTTTTAGAAAAAGTTCTGACTGGTTAGACTAGCTTAAAGACCTCTTTGTTTGGGATGAAAAGTTTTTTTGAACTTTTTCTGGAAGATAAGTTTTGTCAAATTCTTGAATTTTCATTTATTTGCTGGGAGGACCATCAATAAAACTTCACGTTCATTAGGTATTCCATTGTTTCCGTCAGTCAAACCCATATCCCACGAGGCTGAATTCAAAGCCCTCTCCTGACTTTTCAGTTTGCAGAGTTTTATCAGGTATAAAGGTCTTCACGTGTGATAAAATCTTCAAAGTGAATTAGACAATATGCCTATTGAATATTAATGACTTTTGTTCTGGTTAGCCTGAATTTCATCCGATTACTTCGAGTCGTTATTATTCCCTCAGTAACGTCTGAATCGACTGGCCGTTAATGCCGTCCAGTGACGTCACTCACTACCCGAAAACCGGGTAGTGATTTTGATTGGTTGATTCTCTAAACATTTGCATAATTATGTATAATTAAGAAAAATTTTAGCGGGATTGTCGCTTGATATTCAGCGGATCGCATCCCTGGCATTCTTTCGTGTAGTTCAAACATTTCGATAAGCTTAATCTTTATCTTAAACTGCGAAATTGCCCTTGTCTTCGAAACTGAAATGCTAAATTGAACTACGAATGAAGAATCATTGCGGAGAGTCGGTAGGTTTTTCATTTAGAGCCGCTTTGTGGTTTCGAAGGTCGGTGATTTTGTTTACGTGAAGTTTTCTGAGATCAATATTATAATTCGACCTGCTTGCTATTTTCACCGTCACGTGTAATGATTCTGTTAGCTTTTCTTTCTTGTTTCCTTGTTTTTTTTCTTCGTTAAGGACCAAATAGCTTCTTTTCAATTAAAGTAAATCATTGTATTTTTGAACTAAGTGTTCCGTGTGTGTGTTTGATTGCGACCAAGTTTGATTATAGAATTCAGTACAACCGGTTCAGAGTTGTACTGCGTGCAGTTGATAGTTTGAACGTTAAACATGAATTACGGTCGAAAAAAATAAAGCAATTCTGTATCATGCAGACATTTCCAAACGATATTTCTCGGTTTGCCACTTGAAAATCGTGGTTTACTTTTTGCATGAATTAAAGCAAAGGTCAAGGAGTAGCGACGTCAGTGGACGGCATTAACGGCCGGTCGATTCAGACGTTGCTAAGAGAGTAATAACGACTCGAAGTAATCGGATGAAATTCAGGCTATCTAATACCAAGAATTAAACATTCTAAAAGGTGCTCGGTTTTTGAGTGTATCAGTACATGTAACTCAATGACAAGTACAGCTCAGGAGGCATACCGGTCAAAGCAAAACCACAGCGTTCTTACTTACGAATAGCCTGGACGGCATTAACGGCCGGTCGATTCAGACGTTACTGAGGAAGTAATAACGACTCAAAGTAATCAGATGAAATTCAGGTTAACTTAGGAAGGTACATGTAAGGTAGGTAGCCACCCAAAAATTGGCACTGGAGAGTTAAAGAATTAAAATTGTTTAATGCTTACAATCTTGAATCAGATCTGTGACCACCTCTTCCAACATTATCCATATCAATGTCATCATCATCATCAACTATGTGAGATCTAGGGTGTGGATGGCTGCTCTTTTCTTGATAATAACTGTTGCCACGACCTCTTCCTCTACCTCCACGATAAGACCTTCCTCTTCTTGGCCTCTCAGAGTCTTCAACGAAAAACCATACATTTGTACAGCTATTTTTAATAGCTAAAAGCAAAGAAGATACTACATGTATGACTTAAGTTCTTAAAATGTGCAAATTAATAAAGTGCTCAAATAATTCAATGAACAAATAACTGAGGGAAAAATTCATGAAGCACGCCTGAGGATAGAACAAACTGCTAAGGGACTGTTGAACAGGGTCTTGTTCCATACAATTTACTTTTTTGGGATGCTTTCAGTGTAGTAAAACTCTTTTGAGCTACATGTGCAATAACCAATGCACCAATGCTGGCAGAGGTCTGTGAATTGTGTGCAACTTAAACACTACGTCACCTTTCTTTCCCGTCGAAGGCAGCGAAACGACCTCTAAAAAACGTCATATCTTGATGCACATAAGGCACCAGCTTCTGCTTCACTATTTTGCCTGCCGAAGGCGACAAAACGCCTTCTAAAAAACGCCACATCTTGATGTGTGCTGTCACGTTTTCTACGAATGGCCTTTGAATGCAGTACTTCAAACAGAGCCTGCGGTCGTATTGTAGAAAATACCGCACTATCAAAGATGGTGCCCAAACTTACAATTTCATTGCAGACAAAAAACGGCTAGTTATTATCCGTTGTTCTAAAAGTTTTAAGTGGATGTGAAGTAATCAGAACACAGGGAAAATGTATAAAATCATATAAGAATTTTTGAAAAGATTTTGTAGTTGACTTTGGAAGTTATCTTAATCGTCCGTACGAGATTGTAGTCGTCTGGGACGACTGGACGACTGGACGACTGGACGACTGGGAATATGGATCCCTGCAAATACTCTTGTACCCAGATCTCTTGTTGACGAAGCCAAAGTCGGATATGGTCAAGTCCGATTTGTACACGTCATTGCCTGTCAGGAATATGACCGGCAATGAAAGAGCGCATGCTCGAAACAAACCCTCAAATTTCGACCTGCTAAACAAAGAATTTGATAGAGCCGTGAAGATTTTGTCTAACAAAACGTGGTTATACGCACATCTTATAAATCAACTCATTTGTTGTTGTTGTTTGTCACATCAAATTTAACATGACAGTTTAAATTTAATCCTCATAGCGTGCGCTAAAACCTCAAAGTAGTACGCGTCAACTTCTAGGCGATGATTTTTTTACCCTTTTCAAAAGAGTTTATTGATAATGAGAGAGAGCTTTAAAAAGTTGAAGATAATATACATGTAAAAATGTTTTTACAAGTTGTATTGAGGAAGAAAACTACATTTTCACTGAAAAATAATTGCACACACCATAGCGCGCACAGAAGACAACACTCGTGACCTTCCCTCACAATCTAGCCAATACAAAAAAATTGAATTTTCGTACTTGACCAGATCTCTTGACCAGATAAGAGATCTCAGGATGAGATCAAAACACAAATATATTGAAATGACCTATTATTTTCTTTTAAAATCTGTTTATAAAACTAAACCATACTTAAAGTTCTTGTGGCCTTTATGCATTCAGGGTTTTTGTAAGATAACAGTAAAGGTTGGTTTTCACTAGCAAAGGAGTCAGAGTCATTATCAGAAGCGTAGAACTTAACGCTGTAGTGAAAAAAGCGTTCTGAATTTTCTGATTCCGCATACGACTCTGTGAAAACTGGGTCATCGGAGTTGAAAGCACAAAGCATGGGAAAGTGCATTGTGATTGGTTTATCCTTCTGCTTCTGCTTCCGACCCCTCCAACAATCTGGTTTTCACTAGATCATAAGCGGAACGTAAGTGACGGAGTCGTATGTGGAGTCGGAAGAAAAAGCAAGCCATTTATACAATATTACAGATTCGAAGATATTATTCTTAAGAATTAAATGTCAGATTACAAGAATAAATGGAGAAGGGCAAGATAATAGTGAAACTAATTACATGCCCTTTGATAATTACAGTTTCATTTGGGATAAAAGAGAAAAAAAAAGAGAAGTATATAAACTATGAAATATATAAGAGAGAGGAAAAAGGAAAGTACACACAAAAAAATACTATACACCTATTTCAATAAAGTTTGCTTCGGTGAAGATTGATGGATGGTCCATGTTTCATAGCCCACGGTGCATTATGGGAGCAAGTCCAGTAAATTACGTGCCCGCGAGGAGCCTAGAAACCTAGAAAGAAAACGCTACTGACGCTTCAATGCTATGTCAGCAGAACGTTATGACAATGTATTTCAAAACACTGAATCCTAGGCTTTTTGGGACAGCGATTTGAGTTTAGGTTTTGCTCTGTGGTAATATGCAAATGTTGCAAATTTTCTTGGCCCGTGCACGTGGGAATTTTGGATGGAGTCAAAAAAAAACCAAATTCAAGGCATATGTTGAACTACAAGAAATAACTTAAAATTACGCGTTTATGTATTTTTAAGGCAAGTTTGTTAAAACTGAATAAAAAAATAATAGCCTTGACTTGCTTTATCGAAATAACCAGCATTCTGCCCCATCCAAAAACGCAGCTTAATCAGGCCGTAAAACCCTACTCCATTAATGTTGTTAAAGGAAGAAGCTTTCTCACAAATGGTCTCCATTATTTCAATGAACGTGAACAAGACCGAACTTCCCGCTACAAAAGGGTTTACCACAGTGCACTGCAGGCCATGAAACATGGTTCACGGGAGCAACATTAATTGAAACAGGTGTATAACATTCGAGGGTTGGTGTGGCGATGTTTAATACTAAGCAAGATAATAGTAATATAGTGCTCATTTTTAGTTGTCTTTTCACTTAAATAGATAAAGGAATATCATTCCAATAATAACATCCTACTGTATAACTGTCGGACAGAATTTTCTTACATGTATATTTATCCCTGTACTGGGATTTAGGTGCTGAAAGGATACACTTCTGGTGTCATTATTATGCTGCTTAGATACCAAGGCCAGTGTGAAATTAGATGGCTTTTTAACTACAATGTGATCATAAAACAGTCCGCAGGTATTTAAGTATGTCAGAAAGCTTAATTAGGCCAAGGTTCACATAATGAGGAGTAATATGATCACGAAGTGGAAGGTTATTAATAACTCTAACAACTTTGTTTTGTAGCTTTACCAACTGTGATAATAGAGATTCCTAATTATTACCCCACAGAATGTAACCATGGTTGAAATAGGGGTAAACAAGTGCATAACAGATGCTTATCAAAGATTGGGTTGTTACATGTCATTTCAGTTTTGCAATGATAATTTACACTTTTGCTAATTTAACTACTGATATGGTCAATACGGTCATGCCTAGACAAAAAGCAATCAATAACTAATCCTAGGTATTTTAATGCTGTAAGACTGCTAAAGATACTGGTTGGCAATTTTTAGACTTTTTGGTACCAAAATATCACCATAGGTGAGATAAATTGGTTAAGAACGCATCTCTCAAAAATTTGACTCAATGCTGAAAGAACTGATATGGGGCAATAGTTACAGGCAAATCTCTGTTTACATTTTCTGCCTCAATGACATAATTTATGCTCATCATTATCTTATGAAGCTAATAAAATAAAACACCTGAATATTGAAAGAGCTTAACAATTTCAGTTATCTCTGAAAATTTGAGCCCGATATACTGAATGGTTTCAGAGAGATTTTCTTTTAAAAACTCCAAATTTTACAAAGAATGTATTACTCATTAACTTTTTTGCCACCCAGCAATTTCACAGTTTTAGATGACTGATATTTCCTTAAATATTGCTTTTAATAAGCTGAAAATTGCACAAATTGTTTAAGTTAATCAGCTCTTTCAACTTTTGAATTTAGTTTGTATATACAGCCACCACTTCTTTGAGTTACGTTGTATACTAATGAGGAAAAATGTAAACAATGACGTCAGCAAAGATTTGCCTATTGCATGAGAAATGAGAGCCTTGTTTAAAGATTGGTATAACTTTGGCAATTTTCAAGTTATCTGGAAATAATTTATGTTTAAGTGACAAATTTATGACATGTGTCAGCAGTTGAAATATTTCAAGTGCAGATATACAGTACTGCTCAAAAGTAAGTTACCAGTTGCGACGCCTTTCTTGTGTGACAAGAATCATGTCTCGTGCTACACACTCCTTGTCGCACACTACAAGAATCGCATAGTTTAGACTGTTCTTCACAGCATTTTTATACAGTCACTACTTGATACACAGTATTTCCATCCACAATAGTATCTGACATCCACAATGGCCCCAGGGTGGGAATTTGACTCAGCTGTCACCTTTGAAAGGGGAGAAAACCTGAGAATGAGCGATGAGCGTTGGAAAATCAAAATATGCATTGGTTGGGTTCCAGATTTCTTGAGTTGTATCTCCTGGATTCCACAAGCAAAACTTTCCTGGATTCCAGATTCCCTTACGTGGGGGGGAAGTTTCCCACATACCCATCAAACTGAGTGATCTATAGAGAATATTACATGTATTATAACAAAAGGTATTTTGTCCCTCAACTTTGAGGAGATACATTTGCACAAAACCTCATTTTTACCAAAATTTGCTATCTACTTACATTTTTTTACTACATGTACATGTAGCTGCTACCCTGCCAAACGTTTTTCAATACAACAGTGCTTGAAACTAATGGTCATTCACTCATCTAAACGAGTAAAATTAGCCAAAAAACGAGTAAAATTGTGAGTTAGTTGTTCTCATGGATGAGTGGAAGTTTAACCCTGTGGATCTTGGTTTCACATTTGTTAAATCAGCACATAATATTATAAAATTGTTCTTTCACTCACGTTGTTTACGCTCATAATTTCAATCGCTATTTTGAACACAGTAAGGGAATGGGCCGGGTAGGGTTCATTTGTCACCAAGTAACTACTCTCTGGAGATGCTGAGTGTTGCAATAAAGTGTTGTGAGTGCCTATAGTTCATTGAAATTAGGATGCAAGGTCTGTGGTCCCCAGGGGTGGGAATTTGACTGAAAATGGAGATGTGGAGGTGTGGAAATAGACATTTTGAAAAATTTAAAATGTCAAATTTCCCGTGGGTTGCCCGCCCCTCCTATCCTGATGCAAAACATTCACAGGTGCATAAGACAACAGTGTATTTGCTGAAAAGCAATTTTTGCATGACAGCACATCACAAATTTGCATAGTATCAAAACATGTGCAATTTGAAACCTTCTTCTCAGGTACTGCATTTGCATCATATTACACTTTATGAAAAGATACCCTTTTCCGTCCCGCTTATGACTCTGCTTATGACTCTGACTCCATCGCTAGCGAAAACTAGCCTTAAGAAGTTAAGATATAAAGTTCTTAATTAGGGGTTTTCACATGACATCACCAAAATTCACACTAAGAAACTATCGATTCTTCTGAGTTTCTACTTTCATGAGGTATCACAGCACCTAAAAACCCTTAGTTACACAAATTTTAGGTTCCAAAAGGGTTCTTCGTTTTGCGATTATCATAGAAGACACTTGAATTTCCAAAGAAAATGATGAATGGTATCATATCCTTTGATCTCAAATCATTTGATATTTGCATACCTCTGTGAAAGGTCAAAACATTATTTTCAAGAAACTTGTCGAAAAAAGAAACTTAAGTATTGAATAAAATGTGTGTACCCCAATATGGCCGATAATTGAATGATAATGTGAAAGTGATAATGGCTATAAAGTAACAGAACAAGATCGGTGACTATTCATGATGCATTTGTAAACAAACTTCTTAATGTGACCACTCAAGAATACCTGGGCTGAGCTGTTCAAAGCTGGGTTAAGATGACCCAGGGTTAGTTCGAGATTTTAATTCAGATTTGAAAGCTTAAAAAGCATTTCAGTTTTAATTCTTTTTGTCTACAAGATGATGATTGGAAGCTCTAAAAATACCTGAGAAAATTATCCTAGAAAATGCTTCAGAACACAAGAAATAGAAACCCGGGTTAAATTTAACTCCAGGTTAAGCGCTCACTGGCCTTCGAACAACTGGGCCCTGGAGAATAACGTGAATGGCTGGCGATGAAATTGTTTTGGGATGGAAACTCGGCTAAAACTTATGATTGAACAGATAGCTCCAGTCATACGAATGGTCAACAATTTTTTTCGAACAGATAGCCTTAGCTGTTTGAAGGGATAACAATTTTTTTCAAACGGATATCCCAAGTTGTTCAAACGGATGACAATTTTTTTGAACAGATAGTCCAAGCCGTTTGAACAGCTAATGAACTGTATAAGAACTGCTGTCCATTTGAACATGGAAAACCGTAAGGAATGTTATGGAGTGTGAGGTCATATTTATGAATTCCTCAACCGATAAATTCATGCATAAGTAGGAAAACTCCAAATCAGATGTTTTTGTCAGTTTCCGGCGGCCATATTTGTGCCCCTCAAATGGACATCAACATGGCGTCTCCATACAAAGCCTTACAAATTTGAGTAAAACGTTTTTGTGAACATCTCACATATGGGTTATTCCATAGACCTGATTCTTGGCTTGTATATTTATCTTCTTCCATTTCCCAGATTCTGGACTTTCTGTATTTCTGGTTTGCAGTTTCATTTTTGATAGCATGACAGTGAAAACACAGAATACAGTATATGGTCCTTGGTCCGTGAGGTCCTTGGTCCATGACTTTTCCAAACATGACTAAATATTCGGTCGAGAAATACAATATGGGAAAAAATGAACGGTCCGATGATTTATTGATTAGCATTTTTGCTTATGACAAAGTTTCAGCTTTCCCTCCATGGGTGAAAACGTGACATTAACGTTCGTTGACAGGTAGGTTAATTTGTCTTTCTTGAAGTTTGGCCTTTTGTGGAACCGTAAATTACATGGTCATGTTTACTTAGCTTGTGAATAAAATAATAAAACGCATTGGGAAGACGTGCTTTTTGGCAGAACAGCTTGTCAGATAAACCTTTTTCTGCCGCTGAAAGCACATTGCCCCAGATTTTTAATTTTTTTGTTTTGTTGACTCTTGAAATATATCACCAAATTTCACGTAGTGGTCCTTGGTCAACGACCTTTGACCTTGGTGGAATTTAATACACTTCACAAAATAAAAGGAGGCAGCCTTTTTTTCAAATAATGTTTTAAAAATCTTCTCTATACACGTTAACAAGTTCTCTTTTCTTAATATCTCAAATACATACAGAGTTTTTAGTAATTATTTTCGACCGTGTTGAAAACCGCTTGTGTTGGAGACTGTTGTCTCAAGTCTTTGAAAGACAAGCAGATTATTTTATACTGACAACGAGTGCTTACCATTTGTATGGAAATTTCAGTGAAAAACTTCCATCAAATGGTACTGGTATTTGTTTTGGCACCGAGAACAGGAACGGGATTGAGTTGTACTATTTACAAAATATAGGTACATTTTTCATCTTCTCTCGACATGAAACCTGGCACTGGTAATCCAAACGAATGGTACAGAAAAGTTGTGGTCGTTTCCGGAAAATAGACCATTTTACAGTTGTGGACTTAGTACCCTAGCCTTCAAGTGAATGTGAGGCTGACGGTGACCTTGTTTTGATACAAACCTCCTTTGCTTTGTTATGGAAATTGTCCCTGAAAAATACTAGTTAGCATACTTGATTTACATATTAAAGAAGGAAGGTTTGTATCAAAACAAGGTCACCGTCAGCCGCGCTTCCATCCATAACTGTAAAATGGCCTATTTCCACCTGGATGAACCGTTCCATTTGAATTCTCCCTGGAATTTCCAGGTTTTCCATACAAATGGTAAGCGCTCAACAACTCCCGAAAAAAACTGTAGCTTTATTCCATCAAGAATAGTGACATATTGTGAAAATACGTCTTCGTGTGGAAACTACCGTATTCTCTCTTTTTTTTCCGTGCTGCTTACCTGATTCGCGGACCAAGGGCCACACTCGCAGACCAAGGTCCGGGAGCACGGTCGCCTGTTTTCGAACTATATTCAGTAATACTTAAGGTTGGAACTTGCAACTTCACGATTAACGAGAGGAACATTAAAGCTATCTTTAGGAGGTATTTCAGCTCGTTACGATATGATTCAGGTAAGATATTCACGATAACAATTTTTAGTAGCCAGGGTTCAAAATTAACTTTTCAACTAGGTTGCCCATGGGGCAACCATTTTTTCACTTCTAGGCGTCCAAGGTGAAATCTAGGCGTCAAATAAACTAAGGGACTAAAAACTTGTAATATACATTAGAAAAAGCCTGTCAGTGACTAATACATGGCATGGTTTAATAACTATTAACTTTCTTCCATTGCGTTTGAAATGTTCGCATTGACCGGGCGTTTTGTTTAGGTTTAGACAATTCTGCCTCTGCTCGAGTTTTCTTGCTTGCTGAAAGTTCCTCAGTCTCTTTGTCAGAAAATGCGTTAGATAGTTCCTTTCGTTTCCTTTGAACTTCTTTCTCGTTGTCTGATGTGCGTAAATACCGCAACAAACTGTTCTGCTTTAGTGAGTCCGCCATGATTTTAAAAGAAGCACATGGCATGTACATCCGGGAATTTTCTTGGAGCTTGGGTGTTAGTCCTACTGCGCAGCGGTAAACGCAAAACAAGATGGCGGACAATTACTCCGTACACGTACGCTACGTACGTATGAATTGTAAAGAAAAGGAAAAGAAGTGATAATTTTTAAAGACTTAGTTTACCATTTATCAAGCAGAAACACTGACTTAGGATTATAATTTTCCATTATAATGATAATTGTTCATATCTTAAGTTGTTATTTTATAGTAAATGTACTGGATTTACCATTTGCTTCACCTATAGCGATATATCGCTAACTATGTATATAAATCAATGATAAATAAACGTTGAATTACCTTGCCTGTGGTGTATAGTCGTCCTTTTGCCTCAAAAGCAGTTTTTTGAGCGATTTTGAATGAATTTGAGTTCGTGGTTGACTGTTCCATATAATAGAAGGACAAGGGAGGAATCCTTGTTTTGAAAGGGTTCCAGCACCGGAACGATTTTTCCCCCAAAAATCGCATCGCTCCGCTTTCAAACTTCGCAGCATAAAGGTCAAAAGATTCACGATTCTTCTCGTACCTTCCAATCGAAAATCTATCCAAACGGCCCGGAGCTAGCCCTCGAAGAAAATCAAAATCCCACAGTATTCGAGCGACTGGAATGCGTAGCAAGATTCATACGTGCCAGCCAGAAACCGTCCCACTGATTGCCTCTTTTTGATTAGATGTCGCTAAACAACAAACGCTTACCAAGTCTTCTTCATCAGTTGTTATTTAACCATTTGTTTAACAACATCCAATAAAAAAAAAAGGCAATTAGCGGGACGGTTTGTGGCTGGCACGTATGGATCTTGCTACGCATTCCAGTCGCTCGAATACTGTGGGATTTTGATTTTCTTCGAGGGCTAGCTCCGGGCTGTTCGGATGGATTTTCGATTGGAAGGTACGAGAAGAATCATGAATCTTTTGACCTTTATGCTGCGAAGTTTGAAAGCGGAGCGATGCGATTTTGGGGGGAAAAATCGCTCCGGCGCTGGAACCCTTTCAAAACAAGGATTCCTCCCTTGTCCTTCTATTATATGGAACAGTCAACCGCGAACTCAAATTCATTCAAAATCGCTCAAAAAACCGCTTTTGAGGCAAAAGGACGACTATACACCACAGGTAAGGTAATTCAACGTTTATTTATCATTGATTTATATACATAGTTAGCGATATATCGCTATAGGTGAAGCAAACGGTAAATCCAGTACATTTACTATAAAATAACAATCGGCTACACAAACCTATTGTGTGGGCCCCCTATGGTCGTCCAAGGGGCAACCATGTTCAGAGATTTGGTCGTCAGGGTCAAATTTTGGTCGTCTCTGACGACTGGACGCCCGTTAATTTCGAACCCTGGTAGCGGACCGTAGGCCAGGACCACATAGTATATGCAAATTCAATTCGAGATCGAGTGTACAGTGTAAGAAACCATAACGCATACTTTGTAAAATGATTACCTTTTCCTCCGAAATTCCGTGATCCATCGTAAGATGTCGTTATTTCAAGTGTAGCATCTTCCACAGCCTTGGCAAACAGATTCTTTGACATTGTCCAAGTACAAAATGGTGAACTGTAAAAGTAACCTGGCCCAGTAGTCGCGGTCAGTTCCTTATGTAAGACTCCATAATATGTCCCGAATATATTTAACACCGAGTGTCGGAGTCAATAGCCCGATCTTGAGGCCATGAGGGCGTGAGGAATAATTGTTTTAGTAAAATCCAACTAGTTGGTCAAAAATATAGAGACAAAACAACTTTAGCTAACAAAGCGCGATTCAGCCGCCATTGATTTCGTTTTCAAAGCCGGCACTTTTCGCTACTAGTAGTGGGCTATAACACATAGCCTAGTAGTAGCTCCACCAATAGGAACGCAGCATTGATAATAGACCACTAGTTGGATTTTGCTAAAGAATGTTGGACTGTCACAGTCCCCTATTTTTCCGTAAGATCATCGAGATCGAGCGCTTTGCGTTGGGGGCAGCCATCTCGGTTTGGGAGGAAGCGAGAAAAATATTATTATTATCTATTTTTCTTGCCCCCCTCCCCCTAGAGCTAAAATCCCCGACGCCCGCCCCCTCGGTACATTTGAAAATCAAGATGGCCGCCATTAACGGTAAGACGCGCGCGATCTCGACGATCTCACGAGGGTGACCCTATTCGGCAGAATAGCGGACTGTCGGAACGACGGAACGGAATGGCGGAATAACCGGAATATTCTAAAATACGGAATATACGGAATACTCTAAAGCACGAAATTTACAGAATATTCTGTATTTGATTTGAACTAGTCTGAATTTCGTCCGATTACTTCGAATAATAACGACTCGAAGTAATGGGATGAAATTCAGGTTAATTTGAAGTGGACTGACAAAAAAGTGGAGGCAAAAAATACACGGCTGTTTTGAAATATTAAAAATTCAATTTTAGTACTGCCGTACACTATAGAGGTGAAGGGTCTTGTATGGGATCTATTGTCGGATGATTTTCATAAAACGGCTGTTCTAAAAAAAAAAAAAAGAATTGTAAACTTGAGCTTCACAGCAAAGGATTGTACTAACAATTAATGGGGCCACACCTGTGCCTAAATTAATCCGGTCGCTTGCTTTAGATTTTCCAGACATTTGTCTTCAATTTTTCATGGAAATTTTAGTCGGCAGGAAGAAAAAAAAATTATAAAACAACACTGTATATTTTCACGCGGTTACCTACCTGTCAAGATGGCCCTAACCCTAACCCTAACCCTAACCCGAAACCGTGATTACCGTAATGATTCGATTTAGCACCCTCCTTCCAATAAGCGCCCCCTTTCGAATAAGCCCCCCAGTAGTATACTATGTTGGAAATTAAGCCGCTTTGGTGCGTTCCCTTTGCGTTCCGTGTGCGTTCCCTTTATTTTTATGCATAAGGGTCGAGTACATGACGTCACCCATTGCTATAACCTAGCATGAGGACCCGCATACGACTTTTTTTTGTACACCACAGGACGCTGGCGTTGTTAAGGACGCTAGGGTTTGAGTGACAAGCAATAGACTTCCTACCGCGAAAAGCAATTAGTTTCTTTACCGTTTGGTCCAATCATCAGTGGTATTATTCGAGTCTACCTTTTTGTCGAGGGTCGAGGGTCGAGGGTTCGAGTCTATCTTTTTGTCGAGGGTCGAGGGTAACATTTTTTTTCCAAAATTTTTTTTTATTTTTGGAAAAGGTAATAATCGATGCAGTCAATGTCATTAAAACAAATAAGAAGAATTTAAAAAGCAAATGGCGCGTGAACATCTAGTTGTTGGGTGGGGGGGGTGCAATAGAGAAAAGCTCCGGGACATCCATAAAGAAATGTGTTGTTGTTGTTGTTGTTTAATTAAAATAGTACGTAGACATTCGAATTCGCTTAAAAGTAAAGAACCTTCTCCCTTCCTGTGAAGGTAGACAGGTTGTGCCTAAGAAAAATGTCATAGAGCTTAAGCGAAAAGATTCAAGTTGCCCTAGGACGACCGAACAGATACAACTTTTATAGCGCCGCTTAAAATGCATTTATAGAGATTTGAAAGTACTCTGGATAAGCGAAAAAGTGTTTTCAATGCATTTAGGAGGTAGCCTGCGAAAACGTCCGTTTCTCCTCGCTATTCACTGCTGGGGACGTTTCGCGCGGCGAAGAGCAAGGAAAAACGGATGTTTTCGCAGGCTATTTAGGAGGTAACCGTGGTTGGGTGCCCCTGCTTCGCGGATTATATTTCAGTCACGTCTGCCTCCGGGGCACCCAACGAGGATATAGTTCAAAAGCACTTAACATAGCATTGTTGAACGTATTTTAGTATTCAAACGGTAGATATAGGCATATTTTTATCCCCTAAAAACTTTTCATCTGTTCGGATTTCCTAGCTGAAAATCTAGTGATCCGAAAATTATAGGGATAAAAACTTACCTTCTCGAAAATTTCAGCCAGGAAAAGGCCCCCGAAAATTCTAGGTGGCCTTTTTTAGGGTCAATTCCGTTAAAAATGAGTAATTATACCATTTTGAAGATGTTCGAAAATCCTAGGAGAGGCAGGCAAGCAAGAAATTTTACAACAAATGCTCCGAAAATTCTAGATCTCAAATCGTCTTCCGAACAGATATTTTCCCGAAAATTGCCGTTGGAATTTGCAACACAGTCGATTTTTTTTCGGGAATAAAAAACTTGTATTCATGGTTCAAGATAAACGGCATTGTCGCAGTACTCCGTTTTTTCCTATTCATGTCCAACTTGGCAAAACAACAGATCTTTAGTAGAAATGTGTCAAATGTAAAACAATTAATTGGATCAATGGGAGAGATGGGACCGTACGCCCGTACGTCTGTTTTTTTTTCCCATTTACGTCCAACACGTCCACGTTCACAAATAAATATGACCGATTGTGGCCTAGAAAGATATATTGTATTTTAAAAGGAAAGCGTCGGCAAATGCCGATGTTCACCTCACCGAAAGTCGCTACCAGGCATTATTCCATTTTAAACCTCTGCGTTAGTGGGTGGCGATTTCCATGCGAGTTCGCGCATTTTAATAGCTCTGCAAAAGATAGACTCCAACGATTGCATTGTTCATTTATGACACATTTTATGACACATTTTACAACGCAATAAGAGTTTTTTCCTTCCATTCATGTTGGTTGGACCAGAAATTCATAATTCAACCTACTTAAGTAACGTGTTGTGTTCGTGGTATGGGTTTCCGGGGTGTTATAAATGTAATTCTTTGAAAACAAATTGGGATGTCCTTGAGCTTTTCTCTATTCCAGCCCCTACAAAAAACCGCCCCTTGTATCTTATAAAAGAGGGCAGTCGCTCAAAGACATACTCGTGAGAGCCAAACTATAAAAAGGCTATTTTAAACACACGCTGGGGAGTCGTGTAGACCTGTCAACCCCATTTTACACTGATTGTGAATGAATCAATTTCGAATCAGCTAAACAATAAAGATTTTAGTTCATTGAAATGTGTTAATATCTCTCACACTTGCTCCTCTAGCTAAAACTCAGTTAACGAGTGAATTCCTTCCAGTTCTACCAAGAGTTAATGCTTATCAATGTTGTATACCATTTTGTTTTTCTACCGAACAAAATCGAACCAATCGCGTCGATTGAGTTCGATTGGGTTCGGTAATCGAACTTAATCGAACCCACAAAAAAGTTCCAGTTCGATTATGTTCACCGAACCAAAAAACCAATCGAACGATTGGGTTCGATTGGTTTTTGGTTCGGTTTCGTTCGATTAGCTAAGCCGGGTGACTATTATGCATGATCTGCTGCTAATGATGTAAAGCGTGTGCAAACGGGCTACATAAAAAATTTCCGTTATTTAATGACGACGGGTTGCGGAATACTATTGTTAGTAGATGAAGATGTCATAGTAGAGGCAGAAAACACAGAGACCAAGCGATCAAATGGATTCGGTCGAATAGGGAAATCGTCATCCCGCCAAAACGTGTCCAAAGCCCGCCAAAAATTACCAAATCTCGCCTCTTCCGCTACAGTTATCTATTATTCTTATTTATTCAGTCAAGAAAAAGCTATGTATTGCAGGATTTTAGAAAATTAGGTATGGGAGTGGAAATCATTGTTAACATATTTCAAGGGTGACTATTCTTTTAAAAAAAAGACAAGGCGTGCGGCGAGTTTTATTGTAATGCCATGGTGTTCAGTTAACTCCTAAGTGCAATTTTTAAAGCAACAGAAACCCTAGGTGGCACGCCCGTGATTCTGTGAGTTTAGACACCACGGCATTATGAAATCACTTGTACACGAAGTGGAAATTTAAAGTTTAATATGTTTAAGCTTGATTAAGCGAGTTTTATTGTAATGCCATGGTGTTCTAAACTCCTAAGTTCGAGTTTTATCATGAAACAGAAACTCCAGGTGGCACGCCCGTGATTCTGTGAGTTAGACACCACGGTATTATGAAATCACTTGCGTACCAAGTGGAAATTTAAAGGTTGATAAGATTTAGCTTGAGTAAGCGAGTTTTGTTGTAATGCCATGGTGTTCTAAACTTAAAGTGCGATTTTTAAAGCAACAGAAACACTAGGGGCGCGCCCGTGATTCTGTGAGTTAGACACCACGGTATTATGAAATCACTTGCGTACCAAGTGGAAATTCTAAGGTTAATAAGATTTAGCTTGAGTAAGCGAGTTTTATTGTAATGCCATGGTGTTCTAAACACCTAAGTGCGATTTTTAAAGCAACAGAAACACTAGGTGGCGCGCCCGTGATTCTGTGAGTTTAGACACCACGGCATTATGAAATCACTTGCGTACCAAGTGGAAATTTAAAGGTTAATAGCGGAGCTCTCGCGCGCGCGCAGCGGAGCACCATAGGTAAGAAAATCTGGTAAACTATCCAACTGAGAAAATTTGGTTATGACGTAGCGTACGCCCGCCCGCCCACCCGTACACACACTTCATGTAAAATGATGTCAAATGTCACAATAAATCTTGCACAACTTGACTAGCCTCTTAGTTATGTAAGCCATCCGTATGAGTACGTTTAGATTGACAGCTGTCAAAATCAGACATTCGCTGAAAATTATCACATGACCATCTTGCGGGCTTAGATGAAAGACCAGTCGTTTTGCCCCT